AAGATCGGGGGAGAGGTAGTTACTCTGGAGGGCAGGGATAGGGTCCAGAGTGACCTAGATAGATTAGAGGATTGGGCTAAAAGAAATCTGATGGAGGTTCAACTTCACTTTCAGTTACTGTGGCAGTTGGGACTTAGTGTCTGACCTTTGTTCCATTGATTGTTACCTTGATTGCCTTTGATCAGACTTCCCCTGTGTGACTCACGAGGGGTTAGGCCTGACCTAGGTGAGTAGGCTTTAAAAGCCAGAGGCAGAGTGCCCAGGGGAGCAAAGCAGACAAGGGGCTGCAGACAGGGGAGTTTAAGAGGGAGTTTGACAGAGGGAGGCCTACGATGGTCAGGAAGACCTGCAACAACTGTGCCAGCACTGCTTCTGTCTCCTCCACCTGCTCCTGTAGCCAGACAGATCACATGAGCATGGATGCCTCTACCCAGATCCTGGTGTGGTTTTGCAGGGACTGTGGCTTGCAATTTCCACTTACTGATATCCAGGCTTGGGGGACCATCCAATGTGAAAGGTGCCTTCTGGTGGAATCAGGAGGAGGTGGCTAGGTTGAGGAGCATCCGAATCCATGAGCAATTCCTAGACAGTATTCACGTGGAGACAGCTGAACTAGCTAGCTGTCCCAGTACGCAGGACTGCTGTCGCACCACTGGTGGAAAAGGAGATGGCTCAGGGTGGACACTAGCAGCTGGTTACTTCTGACCTGGATGAGGGGATGGATTGCACCCTCCTCAAGTTTGCAGATGACACTAAGTTTGGAGGAGAGGTAGATACTCTGGAGGGCAGGGATAGGGTCCAGAGTGACCTAGACAGTTTAGAGGATTGGGTCAAAAGAAATCTGATGAGGTTCAGCAATAACAAGTCCTGCACTTGGGACGGAAGAATCCCAAGCATTGTTACAGGCTGGGGACTGAATGGCTAAGTAGCAGTGTTACATTGTTGGATTTTAAAAGTCATCATTGCTGCACCCATGGAGGTGGGGTGTACCTCAAAAGTCTATACAAAGGGGGCCATGTGAGTTGTCACATGAAAGCTTGTGTTCTACTGATTCTGTATATGCTATTCATGTACTTGTATGATATCTGTATGTGGAGTTATAAACATGTACTCTGTAGGGTTGCTGGAAAATTCTCTGTCTGAGGCAGAGCAATGTGCCAGGAATGTTTGTTCTATGGCTATGCTGATGAGTGAGGCTCCAGGGACAAAAGATCTCTAAATGCCAAAGAATGAATCTGGCAGCCTGCAGTCCAGCCAGAATAATGATTGCTGGTTTGGGACACAAGGATAGGCCACTGACCATGTGACCTGCTACAGCTTGGAAGGTGCCAGAGAGGTATATAAGTGCCATGTGGCACCCTCCATCTTGTCTTGAGTTCAGCTTCTGATCCCAGATGCAACCTTGCAGGGAACAACGATCCGGGAAGAACCGAAGACCCATCCTGACATAGGATATACACCAGAGAATGTTAAGATAGCAGCTTATAACATGTCTGCTAAGAGCCTGTATCGAGAACTGGGTGATTTGATGCATGTAATGTATTCGTTACAACCTTACTCTCATACTTTTCTTTCTTTTATTAATAAACCTTTAGATTTTAGATTCTAAAGGATTGGCCCAGCGTGTTCTTATGTTCTTATGTTCTTATCTTGTAGGTAAGATCCAGAGTATTAAATTAACCTGGGACCTGTGGCTGGTTTCTTGGGACTGAAAGAACCCATTCGGGGTAGGTGAGATTGGATTCTATAATCCCTCACCTGTGTGTTAGTCCCGGGGCTGATTGCGGCACAGGGAGAGCTGGGGTCTCAGAGGGATTTTGCTTGTGAGGCATCTTGCTGGCCAGACTGGCATCAGAAGCACTTGGTGTGACTGGTTTGTGGCCTATTTGGGAAGGTCCCCGGTCTGGGGCAGTAAGGAACCCCGAGTCTGAGCAATTCGGCCTGAGCGGATGCCCTCAGCTGTGCTTAGACCTTGCCCGGTCCGTCGCAAGCAGTTCTGCAGAAAAGGACCTGGGGATTACAGTGGACAAGAAGCTGGAGATGAGTCAACAGTGTGCCCTTGTAGCCAAGAAGGCTAATGGCATATTAGTCTGCATTAAGAAGAGCATTGCCAGCAGATCCAGAGATGTCATTGTTCCCCTTTATTTGGCTCTGGTGAGGCCACATCTGGAGTATTGTGTCCAGTTCTGGGCCCCCAACTACAGACAGGATGTGTACGCATTGGAGAGGATCCAGTGGAGGGCGACCAAAATGATTAGAGGGCTGGAGCATATGACCTCTGAAGAGAGGCTGAGGGATTTGGGTTTGTTTAGTCTGCAGAAGAGAAGAGTGAGGGGGGATTTGATAGCAGCCTTTAATTTCCTGAAGAGAGGTTCCAAAGAGGCTGGAGAAAGGCTGTTCAGTGTAGTGATGTTCAGCAGAACAAGGAGCAATGGTCTCAAGTTATTGTGGGAGAGGTCTAGGTTGGATATTAGGAAAAACTATTTCCCTAGGAGATTGGTGAAGTGCTGGAATGGGTTAACTAGGGAGGTGGTGGAATCTCCATCCCTGGAGGTTTTTAAGTCTCTGCTTGACAAAGCCCTGGCTGGGTTGATTTAGTTGGTATTGGTCCTACCTTGGGAAGGGGGCTGGAGAAGCGCTCGGTGTAACTGGTTTGTGGCCTATTTGGGAAGGTCCCCGGTCTGAGGCTGTAAGGAGCCCCGAGTTTGAGCACTTCGGCCTGAGCGGACACCCGCAGCTGTGCCCAGACCCGGTTCGGTCCATCACAGTTTGTTTCTATGATTCTGTGATTCTGTGAATGTTAGCCTTCTGTTTTACCCTGCTGTAGGGACAGATGGCTTCAAGTTTTCTGTCCTGATGGGAGGGATCAGGAACAACTAGGCAACAATAGAAGCTTAGGCTAGATCCTAACTCAGAACTCACCCTACCCTTTGCATCATCTTGTGTGTATATTAGCCCTGTGTAGTAAAGGTGACCTGTGTCTGCAAGTGTGCTCCCCAGTGATCAAATACACCTTCAGATGTTACCCCACCTTAATTGCAACTGTCATTCCAAGCCAGTGATCAGTCTGCTGAAGAGTCCTGTCACTCAGGGCAGCAGTGCCCCCTGCATCCTGTCAGCGAGCAGGTGAGAGGAAGAGAGCCCAAAGCACTGAGCACCCTCTAGTTATGCCTTCCCCTTGCCTAGCAACATTTTGCACTCTTGCCATCTTCCTGCCTTTCTCCTAAGCAAGGGGAAAAGAAGACTAATGAAAATAGCTGCACATCCATTCTTCTGAACAGAACAAAATGGCGAACCCACAAATAAACAACTTAAATATCTCAGCAGAACCACTGATTATGAAAGAGCTAACATTAATAGATAAAGACCGCATTATCACCCCCAGGATATATTTCTTCCCTGACTGGGTCGCCTTGCTGAGGGGCCCCACTAGATCCATCACCACCTTCTGGAAAGGCCCCTCTATGATGGGCAGGGGCCTCAAGGCAGCTTTCTCCTTGTCTCGGGCTTTCCCCACCCTCTGGCAGCTTCTGCTGCACCAAGGCCAGCCCAGTCCCTCAGCTTCTGCAAGCAGGGACCTTTCTGCAACTTGGCCTAGAATTCAGCAGCTGGGCATGAGATGGGCACCAGTTCCCTTTCAATGTCTGTGTCCAGGGTCTCAGCCCTGCTGAGCCCAGCCCCCTGGAATTCCCTGTATGTTGGGGTAGGGTCCTGTGTCCCCGGCAGGGTGCCTTCTCCAGGGCCAGGACAATGACCCCCACTCCGGCTCTGGATACAGGTAATAACCAGGGCATTAGGGAGTCCTTCTATCCAGTCCTCTAAGTCACCCCAATCAGCACCCCAGTTGGCAAGTGAGGGTGCACCCCATCTCTGCTGCTCCACTTTGTCCCCTCCCCCCCACCCAGAATACAGTGAGTTTGGCCATTGTGTATGTGATAGGCTGAATATTCTCCCTCAGTGAGTGACACCCCAAATCCCCAACCCCATCTAGATAGTAGTGCAGTGCCCAGGGAAACTTAGGCACACACGTGGGGTTACTACAGGGCAGTGAAAATTACATGCAATATAACAAAGCAATCAGAGTGAATACAATCCCCACTTCGTCACATGTGCAGTTTGCAGGCCCGAGGGACTATAGGAGCCTGGCTTGGGGTGGCAGCAAGGATTGCCCCCCTGCACTCACCATGGTGGCGGGAGCCAGAGTGACCCAATGGCCTGCTTTGCTCCACTGCTCCCTGCCTTCCTCTCCTGGCTTGCTGTGTGCAGTTTCTCTGTAGCAGCAGGAAGCAGACCACCCAGGCACTAGGTGCCTGCTTCCTCCCATCACCATGGAAAGTCAGGTCACCACAGGCTTGGGAGGGGGCAGCAGAGCAAAGTGGATGTTGGGCCATTTCTGGACTCTGGATTGAAACTGCTGGCACAGAAACACTTATGTGAGCCCTCTGTCTCCACAGGAGAGAGAATCAAGCAAACGATCAAATTCTCCCCTCTATAGTGCCAAAATTATCAATGCAGGGCTATAATTTTCTATAGCCTTTAAATCCTCTTTGCCCTCATCCAACGAAGCCTGCCAATGGATTTCTTTATATGGAGAACTGTTGGAAGTAGGGCTTTAGGTATCAATGCAAAATCCATTCAGACCCCTAGGTGGTGCCCTTTCCCTTTTGAAGTACAGCGTTTGATGAGAAAAGACTGTAGGGCTACATCTATATTACAGCGCTGTTTCGGGATACTAGAGGTATCCCAAAATAGCTATTCTATGTCTTTTGACCGTTCCCATTATTTCAAAATATTACAGGCTCGCTATTCTGACATCCCTGTAAACCTCATTCCAGGAGCAGTAAGGGACATTTTGGAATATCAATTTATTTCAAAAGAAGTGCTATGTGGAAAGCGCCAAATTTTGAAATAAGCTATTTAGTAATTGACTTGAAATAAGCTACGCAAATTGCTTAATGCTTGAAGTGAAGACATACCTAAGGTGTCTCTGGTCTTTGCAGTTAGGCACGGGACTGGATCTCATTTCAGAGACAGAAATGGAAATTGTCAACCCACCTCAGTGTGCATTTCCTCCAGGCTTCAAGGTAACATTGCAGGTTAGTGGACAGTGCTTGTACATATGACTGTATAAGTAAGTTTCCATACTAGGACATGGATTTATAGATTGCAGTGACATTGAAGGATAGACCTATGGGTCTGCTTTGGTATCTAGCCCTACTCTTTTCTGCCTTTGATGGGTGTTCAAAGGCTACTATTATAGGGGTGTCCCCCACACAGAGCTAGGGCTGCTTCTCAGAGGAGAAGCTCCAAATCTCTTGTATCCCGTGGGATATTTAAAGGGACATGAAAGAGCTAATTGAATTTGAGTCTCTGTGAGCTGATGCTGCAGATGGAATGGCTGCTGTTTGCCCATTCAGTTTCTGTATTGATTATTCCCTTGCTAACACAACCTAGCTGTTATCTAACCCTTTTCATTGGCAGATCTCAGAAGGCTTGATAAAGGAGGTCACTGTCATTGTCCCAGTAACCCATGAAAGGGAGCTTAATGTGGCTTGAAAACGTCTCTCTCTCGCCACTGCTTCATTCACCTTGTTTCTCTTTTATCCTTATTTGACAGATAGAGAATCTATAGACACAGGAAGGTGAAGGGACCCGCCCAGTCTCCCAGCAATATACTCCTGGTCTGCTGAATCCCAGTCCAGTGCTCTGGCTGTTGCCTTATAGGCTATGTCTATACTGCAGAATTCTTTTGAGATACTGGAGGTGTCCCAGAAAAACTCTGCCACTTCCAAGGAATGCGTCTACCTTCCAAGAGCAGACAGGATCCCTGTAAACATTGTTTCATAGCAAAGATGAGACGTGCCAAAAAAAAGAGGTTTTTTTCCAAAATGTGGTCACGTTTACATGGGCTAAATGTTGGGAAAACCTCTTCCGACACAAGAAGTGGAAAAAGGTACCAAATTATGGTTTGCAAATTGTGTAACTTTTTCTGGAAAGACACTGCAGTCTATACAGAGACATACTGTATTTATGCCACACAGGTCTATTCAGTGCTCTTCATTTTGGAGGCTGTAAATCTCTATTCCCAAGGGCTCTCCATAGGACATCCCTGGCTGCAAGTTAACAGTGACTAAAGTAGGACATTTTTTATTTTGAAATTTTTTCCACCAAAAAATAAAATTTAGTCAAAAATAGGTATTTTTAATGAGAAAATGTCAATTCCAATGAAAACTTTATATTTTTTTCCAGGATTTGTCAAAACTAAAATGTTCTTTTTTGAGTAAAATTGTTGTTTCATTTTGGCTTTTTCGTTAAAAAGGAGAAAAAATGAAATTATAATCATGATTTGAAAAGAGAATTTTAATTCCTGTCCAACTTAAAATGACACTTTGGGGTTGTTGTTTTGTTTTTTTTAAACTGAATGATTTAAAATAAATTACATTGTAAGGAAAAATGAAATAAACATTGAGATTTTATGTCAATGGTAAAAATTGTAATTTTATGGTGATAGAAAAAATAGTACAAAAGATTATTAGGTTTTTGAAGGAGAAACTAGCTATAATAGGGACAGTAAGACACCAAATTACTAGCTGAATTTGGAGAGGCCTTTCATTTAATTCAACAGTGTCTTTTTCTAACTTTTAAACATCGCTTCTAATCTGTTCCATCATTACAGGAAATGTTTGATAGTGGGAAAATGTATTTTAAATACATCAGAAGCAAGAAGCCAGCTAAACAACCAGCGGTGCCACTGGATAATTGAGATGCTTAAGCAGCACTCAAAGACAATAAGGTCATTGTGGAGAAACTAAATGAATTCTTTGCTTCAGTATTCATGACTGAGAATATTAGGGGGATTCCCAAACCTGAGCCATTCTATTTAAGTGACAAATCTGAGGAATTGATTTAGATTGAGGTAGCATTAGAAGAGGTTTTGAAACAAATTGATAAATTCAGCAGTAACAAGTCACTGGGACCAGATGGCATTCACCCAAGAGGTCTGAAAGAACTCACATGGGAAATTACAGAGCTATTAGCTGTGGTTTGTAATCTATCCTTTAAATCAGCTTTTGTACCTAATAACTGAAAGATAGAAAATGTGACACTAATATTTAAAAAAGGCTCTAGAGATGTCAGTATTGGGCAAATTAATTGAAACTATAGTTAAGATTAGAATTGTCAGACACGTAGATGAACATAATTTATTGAGGGAAAGTCAACATGGATTCTGTAAAGGAAAATCATGCCTTACTAACCTACTAGAGTTCTTTGAGAGGGGTCAATAAGTATGTGGACAAGGAGGATCCAGGGGCTATAGTGTACTTTGATTTCCAGAAAGCCTTTGACAAGGTTTCTTACCTAAGGCTCTTAAGTAAAGTAAGTTGGTATGGGATAAGAAGGAAGGTCCTTTCATGGATTGATAACGGGTTAAAAGACAAGAAACTAAAGGTAGGAATAAACAGTAAGTTTTCAGAATGGAGAAAGGGAAACTAGTGGTGTCTCCTAAGGGTCTGCACTAGGATAATCCTATTTATCCTATTTATAAATCATCTGTAGAAAGGGGCAAAATTTGCAGATGATACCAAACTCCTCAAGATAGTTAAGTTCAAATTAGAGTATGAAGAGCTTCAAAAGAATCTCACACAACTAGGTGATTGGGCAGCAAAATGGCAAATGAATATTGTTGATAAATATAAAGGTAATGCACATTGAAAAAAATAATCCCAACTACACATACAAAATGATGGGGACTAATTTACTATAACCAGAGTCATTGTGGATAGTTTTCTGATAACAACAAGTCAAAGTGCAGAGGCAGTCAAAAAAGCAAATAGAATGTTAGGAATAATTTAAAAAGGGATAGAGAAAAAAACAGAGAATATCTTATTGCCTTTATATAAATCTATGGTATGCCCACATCTTAATACTGTGCACAAATGTGGACACTCCATCTCAAAAAAGATATATTGGCATTGGAAAAGGTTCAGAAAAGAGCAACAAAATGATCTGGGGTTTGGAACGGGTGCCATATAATCAGTGATTAAAAAGACTGGGAGATTTCAATTTAGAAAAGAAGAGACAAAGCAGGGTGGGGGATATGATAAAGGTCTATGACATCATGACAGGTATGGAGGAAGTGAATAAGGAAAAGCTATTTACTTGGGGTATGTCTACACTACCCCCCCAGTTCGAACTAGGGGGGTAATGTATGCATACCGAACTTGCTAATGAAGCCCGGGATTTGAATTTCCCGGGCTTCATTAGCATAAAGCCGGCGCCGCCATTTTTAAAAGCCGGCTAGTGCGAACCCTATGCCGCGCGGCTACACGCGGCACGGACTAGATAGTTCGGATTAGGCTTC